ATAAGAGTAAAAATAAACGATAACGGCGAAACCTTGTAAAACGATAAGAGTAAAAACCAACGATAGCAGGATTAAGGGTCATTTAGATGGGTGGGGGGGATTCATCACCCCTCAATTGAGGGCCAAAGGTTCACGGTTGCTCGAATGCATGCCCTGATCCCCTACCCGTTCCACACCCAAAATCCTAAACTCAATCACCTAGCACCTTTCAAATTCTTTCCCGCTTCCTACTCTAAACCCTAAACCGGGTTGACAGATGAGGCGCTGCTCTCTGTCCTCACTGCCGCGATCTCGATCATCATCTTCGGCTTCGCCCTGGGCTTTACCAGTCCGGCTGCTGGGACGCAAATGGGTCATTCTGATGGAAGGGAAAAGCCAAGCTTAAGACCCCAATGAAATGGAAAATGAACATGGAAGCTGTGATTATGCAGTAGGGAAAACCCAAGTGGTAGCAACGCCGGAAATATCCTAGAGTCTGCGATACTTGCTCGCATAGATTTTCTAGCGTTTCGTAACGCGCCTGCTTAGAGTCATTCAGCGGCTGCTTTTTTAAGTGCTCTGCAGGACTTGCTAGGGTTTAAGGGGTTTGGGTTGAAGGGTTTAGGAGTCTAGGATTTTGGATTAATTAAGTTAGAGGTGACCCTTGGACGGTGTCTCAAAAGTAATCGGGTGGCGCTCAGTACAATCAGTCAATGTCAGGTGTATACCGGGTAGCCTCATGCATTACAATATTGGGATATTCCTAGAGCACGCTACGCAAACGAAGGCATGGCCTTGAAAGGGGGTGTGTAGGACAAGCCATTTGGGGGCCTTATTGTTTGGGGTCAGGGATGGTGGCCCTTGATTTCCTGCAGCCTTCCTGCAGCATGTGCGCGAAGGCGATTGCAACTATGCAAAACACGGAGAGAAGCTGAACAGCACTTCAGTAATTTGTTCTATTTGCCTCATTGTGATAGTGACTGAAAGTTCTGCAAAGGGAGGACAAGAAGCACGCAAGACTATCCTTTTATAGCGGGCTCATGTTTCCCTTTTTGTGACAGCTACTATGGTTCTGGCAGAGGGCTCCATAGGACTTCTAAACAGGGCGGACTTCAATCCTAGCATAGTCCATCACACAACTCCACAAGCATCACTTCAGAACCTTGATTGAGGACAGGACGGTCACTGGGTACCTGCGCCGGCGGATCTCGTTGTGTTCGAGTCTTCCGACCACAAGACATCGGCCCAAGGACGGGCCTTGGACTATGGACGCCACACCTTCAAAAAGGTTGAGGGTTTACGGCTTACTTTTGTGGGTTGAGTTTGAGGGTTTGGGGCCTAGGGCTTGCTCACACAGAGGCTTTCGCATCACTTGATGTGCAACCACCCCTTCCAAAACTAATTCTCCAACCATGGAGCACGCGAACCGATAAGGAGCTAGACGATTGTCTAGGGCTGATCAAGCGGCTGTTTTGCTGTCGGTATCCTTTTCCCGCATGCAGCCGTGGCGTTGCAAAAGCTCAAGTATATTTAGGAAGTATGCAGATTGGCAGGAACACACGTACCCTCATCGCCTTTTCATGCTGCAGATAATCTTACCCAATAGCTCAAGTATTCAGCGACTCAGCACATGGACCCAAGAATTGCCCATACTAGTTTGCCCCCTGGTAGGATCCCTCTTCAGCTCGATCATCAACATTGGTGCTTTGGTTGGTGCTCTCTGCGGCGGCAGCCTGGATGTTCATGGTTTATGATTGTACGAGCTAGGGTTTGGACTTTGGGAATTTATGGGTTTCCTTAAAATTACAAAGACCCAGTAAGGATAGCTGCACTATCATCCTTAGAATCGCTATTTATCCCAATGTCCCATATCTGGGACCCATATATACACGAGATGATAGCTTTTTAAAAGCAGCGCGCTGAGTCTATGGGGATGCGTGCGAATGACGCAGTTTGAAGCATTATGGGATCATGACAGAAGGTAAATAGGTAAAGAGGGCCTATATAGCAGTGAATGGAATGCCAAGGTATGCTTCAGGTATGATGTCATAAGGTAAAAAACAAGGACTATGTACAGAAAGCATTCTGCATGTTCCTATGCCAGACGAGACATTCAATCAGCCTTGGGTACGGGAACATTTCATATCCCCAGCAGTTTTTCTGCAAAGACAGCAACTTTTATCCTGGTAAACGCATGCATGATGAGCAATATGGTTTGGAGATGACTGCAGCCCTTACTTTCAAGCAAGTGCATAAGTCACTTCCAGGTGGGCAGTTATCAGCTTGATGCCTTTACAAGAAGGCTTAATCGGCCTAATCATTGACCCATGTTGCGACCTCATCCCCTCATGTAAGCCTCGTGTAGCAATGATAATAAGGGTCCTACATGGAATTGTGTGCGGGTGTCTTTTTTCGGATCACGGCGAGTCCTGTCGGGCAATCGGGCAGCACGTGGAGTAGTTCATCAGAGCCTAGCAACCGTGGCAAAGCTGTACCAACCATGGCAGTTTCTGCTCTTGCAGTAGTTCCTCTCCTCCAACTACTGCTTAATCATCCCACCCATAGATCTCATTGCAACTTACAGTACAATCGCTGTACACGAGCTGCTTGATGTCCCGAGACTGCGCCTAGGTCCCCTGGCTCAGCTCACGCCTCAGCCGCAAAAGTTGGATTGAGGAAGCTCCGGAGATTTTCTTTACATGTACTGAATTCCTCGCTTTCTGTTGTTGATGTTGCCGGGGCGCGATGCCGGCGGTGGTGTCGGGGGCGTCGGCAGTGTTGTGTCGTTATTGAGAATTCCTGGCACCAGAAGGTGCCCAAATTCTAAAAAGCGAGGCGCTGCATCTTTCATGGCATCCAAGACTGTTCTGCTTGAATAGGGTCAGTTTCCTCTAGAGAAGTTCAGGCGGATTGGACGAAAAGGCGGACTGCTCTTTATGGCCCCGCTGTTCGCGGCACCCCCAGTGGTCAAGACGGTAGTGTTAGCAGTCGTGATGCTTAGCTGATCAAAGTTGGGCCTTCAACAGTACTAGTTGCTTCGGGCGTTTTTTTTGTCAGTCTTGTTTCGTCAACTAGGAGGACGTTGTGGGAAGTATCCGTGGTGAGCCCAAGGATTGCACTTCAAATTTGCAGTGGAATCAGAGGATGAATCAGAATCCCCATGGTTCTTCGTTTGGGCAAGAGAAGTGGTCCTTGGCCTGCGGCCTGGGCTGCATTTGCAAAGTAGTTGGATGCCCCAGATACGCTGAACATTTGTTTTGATACCTGCTTACGAGGCATAGGGGGCCTGGGTTGACGTGGATTGAGTTCTACCCACCGTAGCGATGTCGGTCAAGTTCTAAGGCCACCGCATCCTAGTAGCACTAAGATCGAAAGTGGACTCTCCTCCAAACTAGGAATGACGAAAAAGGGCACTAGACTCCTGTCCTTTAACAAGTGGCTACATGGGGTTCCATGTTGATTAGATTGCAGGTGGGTAGGTCTGGCTCTTGCTATGTCACGTTGAACACTTGCCTGCATCACATGATGTTGAAGAGACAGCAGACGTCGCCGCCAACATCCGCCTGGGTCCAATTGTATCTAATCTGAGTGTTAAAGCAACCGCCAGTCACCCACCCAGAGAGAAATATCGTGATGATTACTGTATTTTATAACAGCCATCACTGTAGCAATAATACCTACACCCCAAAACGTATCCGTAAAGAATACTTCTTTTTTGCATTTTGCTATGTACAGTGGTTCTGAGCTACAAGTTTAATTTTTTTGGCCTCCAGGTACCAGTCGTGCTTTGCTGCCAATAGCAAGTTTCCGCCATTGAGGCCCTGACTTGGTACGTCACCTCAATCGGCAAAGGCTTCGGAATCCTGTCGCTTGGCAACGTGAGAGTTTTTTTTGGTTCTGGCTGCCATTCAGGCCATTATAAGCACCCTCGGACCTAAAGCCTAAACCCTAATAACCCTTAACCCTAAAACCTATAGTCCCCCTTAAGTAGATAGAATATGGGGTATATGGGGATCTTATTATAATGTACTATCTACTTAAGGGGGACTATAAGCCCTAAACTATTCCTCATTGGCCCTACCAGGGCATGGCCCGGGAGCTTACCATTTTTGGAAAAGCCAAAAGAAACCGCAAGTGCTGGGACCCTCATCCTAGTCTGGTTCTTCTACGGGCTGTAGGTATATAGTACATACTTGGGCCCTAAAGTAGGTATATGGGAAATCCCTTTGGGCCCTAAGTATATACGATATATGTACATGGACTCTTTGGGCCTTTCACTGGCAGCTAACTTGCGCTTATCCTTCCAGGGCTGTGTTCCAACAGTCCTGGCTTAACAATCGTTACACGATTCTTTGAAAACTTTGAAGGAACATATGAAACTTGCGCCATTCAACCGCGTAAGATGTAGAAGCCCAAAAGCTCCATCCAGGAGAATATTGTAGATGTTGCACATCCCATCGGTATGCCTGTTCTTATGTACAGGCATGTGAAAGTCTCAAACAGAAGCGTTCTCAGCAGCTTAAAGAGATGACAGTGTTTGAAGATGGTTGCCGCATTAGCTCACTAGAATGGGGCTTTCCCATAATGGGGGGGGTCCCTATAATAAGGACTGCTATAGTACTTCAGGATCTGTTTTGGGGTCCCGTTATTTTGGGAAATTAGCGGATTAGAGTCTTCGATGTATCTGCGGCTGTGAGAGAGTGTGATTTGCCTTGGAAAGTCACAGAACTAGCAAGAATCCTAGGCCAAGGTGACAACACAGTTGCCAAGCTGGCATGCCAAACAAAGGTCAGTTTAGGACCCAGACTGCTAGGACCGTCTGACATGGCCTGTTGTTGTGACAGTACTTTCGTGTTCTTAGGATGCAAAGAACTGCTCCCATTCAAAGCATTGCACTGGTCCCGTGAAGTACAAGGCTTCAAGTTGGACTTCTTGTATGGCCGGAATTTGACATTGATGACACCACCCATACCAAAAAAGGGTAAAAAGCACCGTACCTTGTGTGAGGATGGTTGCGCGAATTCTTCTGGGCGTTGGCATCGGTGCGCCTGGCTTTGCTTGGGAGTAGAACAACAGAAGCAACCATCACAAGGTCATCATGGCAGTGACCATCATACCCACAGTAAACAGGATCTCCAAACTCTTGGAGATATTGATGGCCATGGTGCCATCTAGGCAATCTGGATCCATATGGGTTTTGGGAATCGGCAGGGGCTTCTGCATGCATCTGATGTGCCTGGAAGTTCCTCATGGCAGGCATCCTTGCAGGTATTGCCTCATGTGCAGCCAGTCCTCAGGTGTAGGAGGTCAAAGGACATGTGGCAAGTACCGATATTGCTACGATATTGGGCATGTAGCACCCGCTTGAAATCTCTGCCCTTCAAGACACGGAGCCCCACAACAGATCCATCACTTAGATGTTGAGAAGCCCCTTTGATTCTGTAAAGGTCTGAGTAGCTGCGTGCCTTGGCCAGCATGCAGCGGGCGTGCGTATGTGTGTGTGTGTGCATGAATCTGCAGATTTCCGCCATGAGCACTCGCAGGAAGAGTCCAAGAAGATGTGCAGATTTGAGTTTAACTCTGAGTTTTGAGGGCAATTACTGCCGCTTTTGGGCCTGTTGAAGGTAACTACTTTTCGATACCTTGGCCCAATGGCTGAGGAATGGACTGGCTTGCAATCTCTCAAGACTCCTTCCCAGCTCACTCTTGAAGGCTAAGCAGGCGAAAGTTCTTTCAGCAAAAAGTTGGCAAAGGAGCCAGAATGCAGGCTGGCAGACGTTGATGTCGTTGTGCGGATGCCATCAGAATGATAAACCATGATCCTGCGAAATGGACCAGCTCAGCGGTACAAGTCGAAACTGCATCAGTCGTAGTCTCTCCTCAATGACCTCGTCAAGTATAGCCGACCAAGAATGGGACCACAATTTTGAGGCTGATTTCTTGAAGCTCTTAACCATAAACCCGTATAGTTCCCCTTAAGTAGATAGAATATGGCTTTGGGTATATCATAATAATATCCCCATATACCCCATATTCTATCTACTTAAGGGGGACTATAATCCCAATATATACCTTATTATAATATAGGAGTTTCCATTTTCTTTTCCATTATCCTTATATAACCCCAATAATATGCCCTTAACCATAAACCCTTAACTCAAAACCCACCCAGGTGGTGCCTACCTACATCAACGAGGTGTCACCCACTCACCTCCGGGGTGCCTTTGGGGCTATCTTTCAGAGCCTCGGCTGCTTTGGGTTCGCGGAGTTCGGGATTGCGTAGTGGGGCGAGCACGGGGTTGCATTGCAACTGTAAGTAGATTCCATAAAATATTAGAGGATATACCATTGCCTGGGGACTGTAGGTAGCTTCTGAAAAATATGGCCTCGACTCAGGGGGCGTTTCAGTGTTTTTGGGGGCACACAGTCCGGGCCTCGTTTATTGAAGGCCAATGCTGACAACCCATCTGCAGGGAGATTAGTCAGGACGTGCGCGCGCACCTACCGATACAGGACAATGCATGTCACAGAGTATAGGGACTTGCAGGGATCTTCAGGGTCTACATATTGTAGGCGCTCTTGTGACACGAGCGCAACGCGTTGAGAAGCAGATGCTGGAGAAGAGGGAGCCTACAGAGCAACTTGCTCTTCTGGCGACATGCTTCTGAATTTCGACGCAGCGCAGGATGCAGCAACCGAAGCGTCCAAATTCACGACGTTAAACCTAG